TCATGCTTTCTTGCTTTGTGGTAGATCTTTGTTCTGTCTTCACTGAGATATTTGAATGCTAATCAATAAAAACATATCACCATACAAACATATCACCATACAAGTCCAGCATACATGACTTTAAACATCTTGCTTTGTATTTCTGAATCTTTTTTTACTTCTTCGGTTGCCAAGGAGATGCTTCTTTGTCAGATTTTCTTCATGTCTGAGCTCTTTTACCTTTAGCAGCAGTCGTTCTTTCTCATTTTTGATCTGTGCCTCCATCTCTTCATATAAATACCGGATCTCACTGTCATGTGTTGCTGCCTTCCTGAAATGACACGTTAAGGTAAACTACTTATCGATGAAAGACACAAGGTGGTACATGTAATATCTAAAAACAGAACAACATTGCTGTCTACACTGTGAGCACTTGACATGCAAACACATTTTCAGACTACTGGTACGTACAATCCCTGTGATGATCGTTAAGACCCCAGCAGCCAATTAGTTAAGTTTAGAAGAATAACAAGCTGTAACACGGTGCCACGCAGTACCACGAGTAAGCCTACATCCCACTGATGCTCACGTTGCATTTACAAAGACAAAAGACTATAATCATCAAGTATGTCATTCTGCATATCAGGGGAGTAAATACATTAATATACAGTGCAAAAAAAATCCCCCTTTGCTTTGTGTTCACTCAGTCATATCATTAATGTATTTCCACACCACTAGAAGGAAGTCAGAGTGTGGATCTAGATTAGTGGTCATTTGACATGGATAAAGACGTTGTTATATAGAGAATTACAGGTAAATCCCATGCAGCAGGCTCTGGCTGGCGTCCACAATGTAAACACAATCCCACCCTTATGCCACTGATTATTTAGGGGCTAATGCATAAGAAGCATATTGACTTTATGGTGGTTTTTGGTCCATAAAGTGTTGGTTTTACACAAAGTAAATAAATAAAACATATATATATATATATAGCATATGCATTTCCTTACTTATAGTCTTGCCAAAAACCTGGCATCTCTTGAGATGGTATGCAGTGTCGTTAAAATAGGAGGACAAGTGGAGGACAAAAGAAGATGAATAGTATCTTAAAGTCATGTCCTTAAGACACAGGGGAAAAAATTCAATAAAGACATCGCAGATGCATCTGGCCCTTCGTTTGATCCATGTACTCTTCACAGAAGCCTTGTCAGAAATGATCGCAGTGGAAGAGTGGCTGTCAAGAAGACATTCTTAAGGAAAGGAAACAGGGAGGAAAGGCTGATGTATGTCTTATGAAGTGATGACTCCAGATTGGAAATTTCTGGTTCAAATCCTCTTCTGAGGAGGTCAGACAGAGGTACAAACAGAAGTGAGAGTCTGACTGAATTATGGACTCAGAAAAGTACAGAATTTGATCCACCATCAACATCATATGGATAGTATCTGGTTGGCAAGAGCTAAATTTCTCAATATGACAGTGATCCCAAGCACACTGTAAACACACACACACGTTTTTTAGCATGAAGCATAAAAACAGGACAACGCTGCCCACAATCATCATATGAGCAATCCAAACAGAAAACAGGCAACCTGTTTTTATATAAAGAAATTAGGGGCGGCTCGAGACTGTTGCACAATGTTGTATTTCTTTCTCTTTCCTTCCCTATATTGAACCTCATGTCCAATATTTCTTCCACACTCATAGTCACTAAAAACCTTGTGAATGGGTAGAACACCATGAAAAGCCCCTTTTCTCTTGCCCCTTGTGTATGTGTTTTCTGCCCTACTACCTCTGGAGGGCGCTCTCCATCTCCTTCTTTTCCTGATGAGCTTCCTTGATTTGGTGGGTGACCCTGGCCAGAAATTCCTCAAAATTGGACAAGAGGTAAGGCTCATCACGTCTGAGCTGGATCCAAAGGCTGCGCACCTCGTCTGGACTGGAGAAAGAGAGGAGAAGGAGATAAAGAGGGGGAGACAAAACTCAACTTAGCTCACAGGTTTGTCAAGAATGGATCATGACAAAAAACAATAATGCACATAAGGTTTTGTTGTGATTAAACTCACTCTTCAAATACATTACTGGCTCCCAGGCTTTCCAGCAGCATGCAGAAGTGCCTCTCCTCCTCATTCTCAACTCCTGACAGCTTGGCTTCCCATTGGCTCTGATAAAGGGCTTCCTTAGCCCTGAAGACTGGGCCAGCGGCCTGATTTTGGTCATCAGTCACAGAGATCCTTCGACCATGCAAGAACTGACCTGAAACACACCCACAGCTTTAAAAGCTTGAAAGATAAATTCAAAAGTTTTTCATGACTTCCCACATCTTTTTCTCTTAGCCGCTCCCATTATTTTAGGGAAATGATCGCTACATCACTAAATCCACAAATCTTCTCTGTGGTCTTCTACTTTTCATTATTGTCTGGCAGCTCTATCTTCACATCCTTTCTCTAGTCTCCTACCAGCCTATCCTTGCCTCTCCAAACCGCTCTACCTGAGCTGTCCCTCTGATGTACTCATTTCTAATCCTGCCTACATCTGGTCACTCCTGATGAACACCTTAACACTCCAGCTCTACTTCCTGTCTTTGCTTTAGTATCACCATTTCCAAACCATATGTTACAGCATATATCATCGTGTAAACTTCCCCTTTTACTTTTGTCACAAATCAGCCCTGCCTGCATTTTTACAAACTATTCCTTATTATTGTATTTTGCACTTGAAGCCGCTCTGGGTTTTTTTGTGTGTGTTTGTAGAACTACAAGATACCTTTAACTATTCAAAATCAACTTGAACTCAACTTGATGCTATAGTAATGTCTTCTATTTCAGGTTCGACATAGAGAAAGCTATTTGGAGTAACATGTGTGATATGTGTGATCCAAGCAAAGAGCCTCTGATGGCAGAAAACCTACTGAATCCAGAGGTGAATGCCTCCAGTGTGAGGTAACCCGTGTGGTCTGTATCCAGAGAGTCAAACACGTCTTCCAGCTCCTTTGCGGACAGAGGCAGCTCTCTGTGGAGCCTCTGCCAGGAGAAACACATAAACAAAAAGGACTTTAAAATACCCCTGTGGTGAGCTGAACTCCACTTCAAAATGAAACACACTCACTGTAAAACCACTGCAAGTTACTTTTAAGACACAATAAATAAATGTCACATGATAAGTTCGCACCTCAAATCTGCTACAGTACATTTTCCTCTGTCGTGACACAGCGCAGACGAAGCTTACACTGACCTAACAGTTGCACTGAGGTTTGTTTTTTTTTTTTACTTTTTTTTTTAAATGTAAGAGTGTTTTATTAAAAACCCTCAACACAAACCCACAAGAGCTGCCCTAATTAGCTGGGAGCACAGCTCACTAATGGTCAGACCTTTAAAAAGAGGCTTGCATGCATTGTTCCTGCCTGTGCTCTTCACTGCAGCCCGTGCGCTGAGAGAGTGGCATTATATTCATAAACATTTCCATCAGCCGTGCTGCTCCAACACTTCTCAGGCTGTTTGAGTGCTCCGAGTTCTTTAGCGACGGTAATATGAACTGAAAAAGTGACACTGAGTGTTCCCTGCTCGGTGCTCACTGTTATTAAAGCCCCGCAGGACACTAAATTGTTCCACAGGTAAAAGCGTGTCCTTTCGAACTGTTGTTCTTCTTAGCAGCGGCTTAATGCACTCACAGGTCCTCCGCGGATTTTTAAAAACCGCTGAAAGAGTAAGAGTGTCGAGGAAAAACTGACCCCTCCCTGTTTTTCAAAGGAAATAAATATTCATATTGGGCTGGCACAATTATTAACCTAACTGGTGGAAAATGTTTACAGTAATGATATTAATAGATGGATTTGTTAAGGCTTACTTTCTGACAGTATATGCACTGAATGATTAATCCTTGATTAATTAACTACCATTTAAAATGTCTTATATATATATCTGCCTTAATAATGTGAAATTGTCAAATGCCTACAGACTTTACAGAAGTGTGTAAAGTCCACAGAAACACACACGGCCTTCATCTCTAACCCTCATATCAGTGCGAGTGATGAAGCCTTTTCCCTCCACATCACAGGTCTGGAAGAACTCCTTTGTCTTGTCCAGCAGGGCAATGCGGCCCCAGTCAGAGCCCCTCCTCTCTGGGCTCCGTCCAAAGCCATTCACCCCGTCCTCCTCCTCCTCCATGCTTCGCTGTGTCTCTCTTATCGTTATATATTTATTTTTTTATGGACACTGTTGGGTGGTAGGTTGCGTGTACTTTGAAGTTTTCTTCATTAGCCCTATATTCAGTCCTCTGGGCCTCCTAGAGTCACCATGACAACAGAGGCAGGAAGTAGCACCAGATGATGAGATCACTGATAACTTGGTGTGTTACAGACAGACTTAAACCTGGTTGCAGGTTCCTGTAAGACAGGCAAAAAACTGTACTCAATTAAAAAATTACGTGAAGGCAATTTTAAGAAAACTAAGGTGGTTACACAAGTAGCAGAGCACTACATCTAAACTGCACTTCCCTTTTCTAGTAAGCCACTGACAAAGGTATGTAAATACACAGTAAAGGATTATCTTAATACTCCACCATACAGAACACATGACGGCATAATGCCTGCAAGACTGCTGCAAGCAGCAGATGAATTCATGTGTCCCCCTGTGTGTTTTCCTCGCGCCTTTGTTTTGAAGTGCTGTCTTGTTTGCACTGCTCCGAGCTGGAGCGCAGTTTACCCTGTCAGGAATAAATCTGCAGCAAACACTGCTGAAAGTGAAATATCAGAGGCAGGTGTTGGGTTGTCAAGTCTTGAATTTGGATTTTTCCTGAAGGCTGTTTAATTAGTGCAAATTTTAACTTGGCTACAAACTAAGTGAGTACATACTACTAAGCAGCACTGCCACCTACTTTGTAAGCTCAGGCAAATCCCCTATAATACAGGCTAGTTAAAAGACACTTAAGCAATGTAAGTAAAGTTCTGGGCCTTCCTCTGCAGCATATACAAAACTCTTGGCGAATTCTTTCTTTCCTCAGCTCTTGTATCTACAAGTTGCACAGGTTTGCATTTGTCCCTTTTTTCTTTAAATAAGTCAGAAACAGAAGGAAAGCTCTTACCTTCTACAAATGACGAGCACAACAAACTGAAACCTTTTGTATCCGCTCTCAGTATTAACAAAGCTGTGACCGCACTGTGTTTAGGAAGTCTTGCCTCACAGACGAGTGTTAGACAAGTCATTCTGCAACCATGTGATGTCATGAGGAGGCAGCCTGAGGCTTTTCAGCCTGGGTCCACCCGCTGCTCTCACACTGAGATGGGGCTGCAGAGTGAGCTTACTCTATGCAGGCTACATGTGTGCAACATTTTTATGTAGTGTGTAATTAAGACAGCAGCATAATGAAGGCTGTCAGCGGGATGAGTGTTATTGTGTTTTTGGAGGTTTACTTGGAAATAAAA